GGGTGGGGGGAAGGGGGAAGGGGAGAGAGGGGGTTCGCAAAGCTGAGAGAGAAAGGAGATAGATACATACAAACCCGTTACAATGGTCCGCAATGGTGGAAGCAGTGGTTCGAAGAAAGTGTCTCAGTCCATGTAGAGTCTTATCACAGGGGTCCTCTTTGGGTGGAGCAGGGTCATCCGTTGCTGAAGAATCCTCTAAAAGTGAAGGTCCAACTGGTGCAGGGGGGGTTCAGGCGGTCCCCTCTGGGTCCGGTCTGGCTAAACTGGTGGGCAAACCAGAAGCTGGTGCTAAACTGGTGGGCAAACCAGAAACAGCATAGTAAGGGCCTTGGTTGTGTCTGCATGGCCATACATGGCACTGCACATCAAACTGCAATGGTGCCAAACAAACTGGCTGAAGAAGTAGCGTCAGGCCTTCACTCTGTGCTGACAGGAATATGGCACACACTGGACCTGATGACAGTTGGGAGCTCCTGGGTGGCATGGCCAGAGTGGAGCCTATGGGGAGCGGCGGTGGGTGCAGGCTGCCTGCAGTGGGCTTGGGCTCTCTGCCCTGCTGCCCCCACACACTCCATAGTCCAGTGGGTCCTCCATAGTCCAACAGGTGAGACCCAGTGCAGCAGGGAAGAGCAGAGCCAGGTGGGGAAGTTTGTTGCCACCACTGGGAGCTCCATGCCTCTATGACAAGGTGCCCCCTGCCTACCCAGCAGCAGTGAGGGGAACAACTCTGTCCTGCCACCCCTGCTGCTGCCAGGTGAACAGGGGGCACTTTGCCAGGGTGGTGTGAGGTTTGCAGCTGTAAAGAGTGTCCCTGCCAGGTCCCACCCGCTGGGCTGTGGAGGCCCTGCAGGGGAAGGCAGCAGGATGTACAAATTGAGGGGGGGGGGCACATACCACCCCTGCCCTCCCAGGAGTGCACGCAGCAGTGGGGAGCCACCCCCCCCATGAGCTGCCCATAGCCCCATGTTGCTCCCTGCTGGGGCCCTGTGGTCTCTCTTTGTGGCCCTAGGCCCCAAGCCCCATGCACTGCCCAGGATGGGCAGTAGCTTCCACCTTAGCCCTGGCCAATTCACTCCCTTCGTATGGAGGCTTCAATCCCCTCTCCCCCACTTGTCAGACTTACCTGCAGATTCTGCTCTCCAGGCTGCCTTGGCCGTGTGTGTGTGTGAACACGCACATGCACATGGAGCCCCAGGCGTGACTGCCCTGATTGCCCGCAATTGCTGGAATTCTGCCAGCCCGCAGAGAGCTCTTTGCAAAAGTGGGAAATCCGTGCGTTTCTCCATTATTATCAAAATTATAAATCTGCAGTTTTTTGTTTTCCTGCGGGAAACTGAAAACCCAGATCCCTGTTTATGAGTATATGCAGTTTAGAAAATACAGAAAAGAAAATGTCACTGTTTTTGAAACTTTACAGCCCACCTCAGTCAGATGCTGTTCATGGAATAATTGTAAAAAGGCATGAAGACCTCATCATTAAGAGCACTGAACTGAGAGATTTCCCTTATTATTGGGTAGTCATAGGCTGGTAAAGAAAATATGGCTCTCCTGCGGGGTTTTAATGTGGCTTGGCCCATCCACATAAGGAGATCAAACAAGGTTACACACAATGGTACAGTGTATTACCAGGTACAACAGCAGTACACAGTGTTACCACTATTACAGTTATAGTAGTTTCAACCAAAGAAACCACATAAAATAAATGTGGACCAAATTTCTGCTAGAGACTAGACTATCACAAGGGCTCACAAGGCTGGACATATAAGCAGAACATGATTTTTCCAGACTTTTTAGGAAACAGACAGTGTTAAGCTCTTGGGGACAGACAGTATCTTGTTGCATTTTTATATAGTGCCTAACTACTGCAAGATACTGGCTAATATTGATTTAAATTACATTACAAAATCAAAAGTGTAGCATGTACATAAATAACATAGATTCATAGTCCTTTATGGCCCTGTAGGTGCAGGTGTTACATTTAAATGGACCTAACCATGGGAGACGCCATGCAGTGTTGGACTGGGAAGGGCTGTGACAAGAGCAGGTGCTCGTGCCTGCTTTAGGCTTATCAGATTACCTCAATGCAGACAGCAAATCTTCCCCATCTGGCTCTGCATGGGGAGTTGCACTCAATTATACTGGCAGTGGAGGCAGTGAAAGTGGTGGAAGCATCCATGCTATGGCACCCCCTGAAAGGTTCTTGTGGCACCCGGGGTACTGCAGCATCCACACTGAAAATGACTGATCTTCTGGCAGCACAACTGAGTACTGCATGTTTACTGTGTTAATTGAAGATATCTTTAATAATCTTGGCCACTATGGATGAGATTTATTTAATGCCTTGGAGGCAACTCTTCTAGCATTTGGTTCTACATGCAAAGTTGGAATCCAGATCTGTTCTGATTCTTTAGAGATTCCATTTTTGACCCTTGGATCCTATCTTCCCACTTGGCAAGATGGGGTGTTTGGCAGCTAGAGAATCACTGTTTGCATCACCCCAACAAATTTTGCTTCAGAGGAGGGGCAGCAACAGATTGATCTCTAGCAATGAAACCAGAATTCCTCAGAGCCAGCAATTCACAATGATCAACAACACATCAATCCAGCTGCAAAGCTATTAATGTTATGCTTTACACTGTATGTAAACTGCATTGTGTTTGTAAAGATTCCCTGGCTTTGTGTCTTTCTAAACTCTTTGATTATAGTGAAAAGTAGATTCTAATTCATCTGACTACTCTAGGGTGACAACATAAAATAGGGGTGTAAAAGCATAAAGCCAGGAATACTTAGACATGTTAAACTGTATAAATAGCACTCAGAGAGTGATAGCATAAGCTCTGCTGTGCCAACAAGTATCTGTGATAAGAATAAACCCCTTAAACCCAGAGTAAATTTTCTGAACACAGAGAGGCTGTACTTTTCAACTGGTTTCCACTGTACTATTATGTTTAAACATAATGTTTTAAAATGTAGGTTCTACATTATAATTGAATAAAATATTTAGTATTTTATTAAATCAACCTTTTTTTATTAATGCATGCTTTTCATATTAACGCTTCTATCCCTTTTCTCAGGTATTGCCAGCAATATCAACATTTCAGAAAGGTTTTTTTTGTTGTTGTTTATGATTCCTTTACTGAACCTTACTACATGTAAAAGTTTTTAAAAAAAATTTAGTACTAGACATATATGCTTTGGAACATCATTGTGCGCTCTGGGAATAGGCCAGTGCTATCAAAAGTATAGGTCCTGACCTCTGCAGTGAATTCTTGATGAGCAGACTGTTACACTCGTGTCCAGCCTCACTGAAATCTTTGTCTTCACCGGAGCGCTGTGTGGGTGCAAGGGTCTCCACAGGCAAAGCTCATTGTAGAACTGGGAAGGTCTAGTTGTGGGTATAACTTAATTCACGTAAGTAGTTTCATTGAAGCATCTGGCCTTGACCTTTCAAACACTGATGCATGCCCTTATCTTTAAGCATGTAAATAGTCCAAGTTACTTCAATAGGGTTACTCAAAGGTGTAAAGTTACATTTTTGTCTAAGTGTTTGTAGTACTGGAGTCTTGGATTGCTTCATTACTGTCTTTTAGTTGTTGTTTCCAATGAAGTTTGTGATCATTTTCAATATTGCATAAATTTATGATGCAAGTATCTAAAGAATTATTGATGATAAAGTTAATGAGCATGGAGAAAGAGGCAAAGGGGACTAAAACCCCCCCAGTGTTCTGAGATGCTGTTCTGCTTTTTTCAGATGAACTGAAATTTGGAACCTAAAAAGGATGTTAAAGCTCCTGCATTTTTTTTATTAGTGAGTCATGCAAGAAAACAAGCAGAAGAAACTAGAGTCTTATTTTTATGATATATGTGGTAGAGTTTCAGTTTGCATATATTTTTGTTGAGAACTAAAGTTTAAATACTGACTTGGGAAAACCGGCCAAATTTTTAAGCTATGAACCTTTTTGATTTAATACTTAATCATTTTGAATGCATCAGTAGGATCCTATAACAACAGCTTCCATTGAGTAAGGAAATTAAAAGAATTTCTAATACTTTTATGAAACTAGTGAAGTTTGCATAAGTAAAACTGGTTTCCTTGTGACTATTCTTACAACAGGTGAGCTATCACTACTTTATGAAACACATTTTGCTGTAGAATACAAAGTACTATCTAGTGACCTAATAATCTTTTAAACCGCTAATTGAAGCCAAACTCAGTATTTAGCTTTCCACAACTTTATGAAGTGCCCTGTTTAAATCTTCAACAACAAATAATTCCCAATGACTCAAACATGAATATTTTGCTAAACTTTATTTGAACAGATGAAATATGGCATAGAAATTAAGGTTATGTATTCAAAATGTTTAAATTCCATGGCTGTGGGCACTATAAAAAGTTGAGATAGATAGATAGATAGATAGATAACATCACAAAATACCAGTGTTGTGCTTTGTCTTGATGTTCTGGCATACTAAAAATTCTAAGTGAATCATTCTTTGTAGTTGTGCTAATAATAATAGATATTAGGATTTATATCACATGTTAATGGAAGAGAGATATTAAATACCTGCATCACAGCTAGTAAATTTTATATTGAGTTGTCTAAATCCATTGTTCATTTCCATGTTTTTTAAAATTCTGTTATCTCTAGAGTGATAATATTTGTTGTCTTAGAAAATATATGAGTTTTTGATGAATAACATTAGGAGTGAAACATCTCTTTTAGTGTATCCAGACTTAAATTCTTATCCCACATTTTTCTTCTTTAGTAAATTTTGAGGTTAGAGAAGTACTGACCCAATCAAACATGTACAGAGCTTGGCCTCTGAGTTAATTAAATATGGGTTAATAACATATTATAAGGAAATCATTGTCCTTATTACAGTTATTAGGTAGTTAGTCAAATTATAGCTTCAAAGGAATGCAGAGCATGGAGAACTCCGGATTAAATTATGCATTTGAACCTTAGGCCAGCTTTTACTGTTGAGACAGTTTGCTACTAAGAGAAATTGTGTGTCATTGAAATTAAATGCTTTTCTGGGGATGGAAGGTTCCAGTTTTTAATGAAATTACTGAGTGTGGTGTAGTGAAATGATTAAAATCTGTATTCCGGGAATGTGGCAGTGAAAAAATCAATAAATGCTAGCAAAGCTTTGCTGCTGGATGTGAATCCTGGGAATGAAATAAACTAGTACAAAAATAATAATTAAAAACATATCAGCACATTAATTTATTTAGCATCAGTCTCTTGAGACATCATCTTCACTAATTTTTAGCATACATTTTACTGTGTAATGAGAGGAGCTTTCTTTTCACATATCCCTATTAGACAGGCAGTATTTTTGCCCTTCCCCCAATGTTCCTGCATTGCAATCATTGTGCTTGCACTTATTATGTTACAAATGACCGAGGTAAGGCTGACATTCTCATTGCATGCAAAAAGACCTAGTCTGCCAAGCTTTTTTTTTTCCTAATGAAGCAGCTTTGTGAAATCTCCCCATGTGTTAATACTAATGAAGATCCTCCAGCACAATTAAAATCACAGCCAGTGGCTAAAGAAGAAACACAAAACAATGGCATCTCTCTACATATTTCTTTGTTTCAAGCAGCTACATTTAGATGTAATTTTGAAATGATTTTTAGAATATCAAATGATTTTCAGTAGTGTTACTTGTGAAGCAGTCAGACGTATTTTTTAAATAAAAGATGCTTTATAGAAGACACCACAGTGAAAAGAATTAATTTCTTTTTCTACCTTCTGTGTGGGATTTTATTATAACTTAAAATCTTTATTTTCATAGTCTGGAGGAAGCAATTCTTTGTTTTTTGTGTACTTTAACCCTAGCCTAGCTTGACTCTTTGCCAGGGAGAGAGAGAAACCACGTGTGTAGTTTAAAGGGTTAGAGTAGGGAGGTGCAAGTATTTTTGCTCTTCTTCTACAAAAGAATCTATTAACTCAGTTGTTTCAGCCAGAGCAGGAATTTCCAGTAGACAAAATAAAATGCTAATATTTCCAGACATAGCGCAAAGCACTTAAAAAAAAAAAACAACTTTAGTAAATAGTTCTTTTTGAGCATATGAATATTTATACACCTTGTATTTTTTTTAGATTTTTGTTTCTATTCTGTTGAATTTGTTTCCATTTGCAGTGTTTCTCTTCAGAGACCTGACCACGGCATCCAGTGTGACTTTCTGATGCGTTTGGTCTCTCGCTGCGTGGACTCCTGGTCCTTTGGCAGCAGGCTGCCACTTGCACCCTGCGATCTTCTGGGGATGTAGGAGAGCTGCATGTTTCAGTCTCGAACAGAGCAGAAGCCATCATTCAGGACGTTTCAGGTAGCTGTGCCTTCGCCTCCCCGTGTGCGTTAGCTGCCTTCAGATCCTCCCGAGCGGATATCAAAATGCGTTGGGCTTTTTAAAACGCTCCAACTTTTCTGCAACTTTCCCTAGCCCAGAGCCCCTTCCCCGAGCGTGCGTGCACGGGGGGAACAGGAATGCAGCGCTTCCCCCCGCTTCTTGCAGGGGCTGATAGGTCATTTATTACCGGGGCTGGAGCGAGATAAACAAGCCTCTCTCTTTTTGCCCCTCGTTAACAGCAACTTTCATTGTTGGAGCGAGAAGAGCCTTCTCGGTTGACGTCACTTTTGGTTCGCGAAGCCTTCGCCTGCAAGTGAGGCTGAATAAACCTCGAGGAGAGCAGCAGCTCCGCGCGGGCGCTGCTGGCAGGGGCGAGGGTGAGGCGGCCGCACCCGCACCCCGGCAGGGTCACGACGCAGCCCCCAGCCTGCCCCGGCGCTTCTCGGGGTGGTGGGCAGCCCGCCTGCCCGCACCTGGCAAAGGGCAGCTCTGCCAGCC